GGGCCTCCCGCTCCCGCGCAGGCACTTAGCCTGTTCCTGGAGTGAGTGGGGAGCCCCGAGCGCGTGCCCAGGCCCCTCCCTGGGCTGCAGCCTCTCGGCTCCGAGTTCCCTGGTGGCGAGTGGATGGGAGGGGCGGAGCTGGAGACTGGGCTGGGGACCCTGGGACCTGCGTGTGGAGCTGCCTGTCTCCCCGCAGCCAGGTCCTGCCCACCTACGACAGCCTGGACGAGCCCTCGGTGAAGACCATGAGCTCCATCTTCGCCTCCTCCCTCAACGTGGTCACCGCCTTCTACGTCATGGTAGGGTCTGCACGCCCACCCTGGCCCGTGTCCCAGGCGGGGGCAGTGCAGGAGGGATGCCCCTCCCTCCAGCTCCTCCAGGCCCCTGGCAGGGACGGCTCTGGACCCCGTGTATGTCCTAGAGCCCAGGGGCCACGGGCAGACCTGCTCCTCAGCTCCACCCGGCCACCCTGAGAGCCGCCTCCCGGCAGCCCTGGCGCTCCCGCTCGCTGTCCCCACAGAAGGGGGTGTGGCCTCGGGGAGGCGCCCAGCTGCCCTCTCTGTCCCCGCAGGTGGGCTTCTTCGGCTACGTGAGCTTCGCCGAGGCCATCGCGGGCAACGTGCTGATGCACTTCCCCTCCAACCTGGTGACCCAGATGGTCCGCGCCGGCTTCATGATGTCGGTGGCCGTGGGCTTCCCCATGATGATCCTGCCCTGCAGACAGGCCCTGAACACGCTGCTGTTCGAGCAGCAGGTGAGCCGCCTCCGCCCCACCTGCGTTCTGTCCTGGTGGCGGCCTCGCTCGTAACTCTCCTGGCTAAACCTAAAGAGCTTCCACTAAAGTGAGGTGTTTCAGTGGGGACTTAAGACCAACTTTGGGGAAAAGAGACAGCGCCACAACCAACAGGGACGGACACACGTGGAGTCGGGCCCCCCCGCGATGCCCTGTGGTTCCGTTACATCGCAGAGGGTGGTAAACGCGCAGAGTTCTGGCTCGTTGCCCTGAACTTCGTGGTTTCGGCATTCTTGTCGTGTTTACAAATGGTCCGTGCAGGCGCCGCCCACCGAGCGTCTCCTCCGAGCGGCTCCGCCTGGGGCCATGCCTTACCCCACGGTGCCTGGCTGGGTTTCCAACCCCGTGAAGATCTGCCTCCGCGTGCAGGGGGCGTGGGCCCGGGCTCCTGCCTTCCACCAAGAGCTCCCTTTCCTTGGCGCCCGCTGTCCTCAGGCCGAGGTGCGAGGGACACGCACGCTGGGGTTCGCC